GTTCTTCGGAGAATTAAAATCATTCCTTTTGTTTTTATATTATCTAGGCACATATTATTATTACTATTATTATCATTGCTATTATTATTAACGCCTATGCTTTAGTTAGTACGACCGTTACGCTTCCTAAATAATGGACTAGTCCGATTTGAGTGAGCGGAATGAGAGGAGAGACATATCAGAGACGTTACTTGGTTTCAGTGAGAAAAAGTAAGAAAGAAAGAAAATTACACCCTGTTAATACCTCATAAATAATGAGCTATTCTGTTTTGATCGCGTGGAATGATGGAAAAGACATATCAGAGACGCTATTCAAAGAAAGAAAGAAAGAAAGAAAGAAAGAAAGGAAGGAAATGGAAAAAGTTGTCAATTTCAAATCTTTTCATTTGTACCCCCTTACTTCTTAAAATAATGACCAGCATTCATATTTATGATTGTTATTACAACATTTTGTTAAAGTTGTTAAGCTCAAATTATTTAACAATTCGATAAGGGAATTTCTATGGATATTTTATTGACGAAGAAATCCCCATGAGCTTATTCAATCCTTGACTTAAGAATTAAAATTCATTAGAAAAATTTTAAATAGGAAAACAGTGGAATTTTCACGAGTCTTTCTAGTTATTATTATTATTATTATTATTATTATTATTATTATTATTAAAAGAGAGCAGTAATCCACTGTCCTGGGTATGACGATAAACTACATCCCCGTCCTGGGTAAAACGATAAACTACGTCCGACAGCAAGGCCTCTGATCAGGAGGTTTTGAAGAGCGTGGAAGCACCTCTTAATTGCTGGTGTTCCCAGGTCCATACTGACCCGGGGTGGTACCAGCTGTCATGGTCCCAGCTATGAGCAAATAGTTAACCCCAAAACTGGGGTGAAAACACTATGAAAGCGTAAAAATAGTTTTTAATACCAGAAATACTTTGTAAATATTATTACCAGCAATACATTATTATCAGCTATACATTTTTGAAAAAAAAATAACCAGCTATACATTTTTTTTACCAGCTATACATTTTTTACCAGCTATACAGTTTTTTTTTTGAAAAAAAAATATTAACAGTGATACATTTTAAAAGAAAAGAAAATTACCAGCAATAGATTTTTGAAAAAAAATTACTAGCAATAAAAACTGCCGGCATTAAATAACCCATAGAGGTTGATAAGCCGTAAAACAAACCAAACCAGCAGTAATCCAACAATATTGCTTTGAGCGAATGAGGGCTGAGGGTCTTGACAAAGATCACCCTTCGCTGAACATAGTGAACTGGCGCTACATAATCACAAAGAACTGTACCAAATGAGAAAAAATCACATCACTTGAGGACTACCAGCAGTAGCAACAGATAAAATCGATATCAATTGTATAAGAAAAAAATAACCTAAGATGTTCACATAACAGGTTAGGAAAGAAATACCTTGTCAAATAAAGAAAGACTGATAACAGCTAATGGACTTCAGAAGCCTATTTTCCTGAAAAATAGTTTCAATCCAAAACAGTACTGGCTGCTCGGTTAATGAATGCCAAATTTTTCCTTGTAGGGAAACGGTTAAAAATACTATTACCATTATGACATCCAGTCTGATAAGGTTATAGCATTCATCGAATGTCAAATGTGTCCAATATGTTGAGAGATTTTGATAAGACATTGCATAACGATGCTGTTGGGGCTGAGTAAGAACAATCTGCGGTTCTGTTATGGCATCATCTCTCAGTTGCGTCTCTGTTTTCGGGCAGAGGGCAAATCATTCGTGGCTCTATCCGCAGGCAGAAATGCAGCTGAGGAAAATAATACGGTGAGGTGCCCGACTCTGGGGAACAGGTGCCCAAGGCTGCACCTTTTCATTGCATTAGAGACGGTGTTCGGTGGTCGCCACCGAGGCCATCGCAACCAACGGTTGTAGAGGCTTGGGCAAGTTTTGTACTTGGCCTGAGTGTACGCCCTCGGGTTCTCCACGTTAAGCCTGACTTTGTGTCGTATCCAGTCTCAGTGGGGAGGCACGGGTAAAGAACAACCTCCAGGTCAGGTAAACGAGTCTGCTCAGACAGTTTGATGAAAAGTGTTCCAAAGTACCTAGTCGTTTGCGCTGACTCTATTTAAAAAACCAAGCCCCCACCCCGCCAAAAAAAGGAAAAACGACCCTCTTGACACCCAGCCATAATGATCTCCAACTAATCTCGCTCATGAACAGTGCGCTAACCACTAGAAGCGATTCTCAATTGGGCAAGATCATGAAAATGTAAAGCAAAACTCTGGTACTGAACGGGGTATTTACATAAGCCCATCTTAATTCATCAAGAGAAAACATGTATATGTTAACATCCACAATTAGCAACAGAAGCCATGACAGCCATACAATATCTAGTATGATAGCATTTATAATAATAATAATAATAATAATAAGAAGAAGAAGAAGAAGAAGAACACTCAAAACTAATCGCCCAGAAATTGTGATCAGAGACCACAAAAACAAAGTGTGCCTTCTTATTGACATTGCAGTCTCTGCCGACTGCAATGTATCTTTGAAGATCTTCGAAAAGCTATCAAAATACAAAGACCTTGAAATAGAAATCTCAAAAATGTGACACATGAGAGCATCAACAATCCCTGTTGTAGTTGGAGTCATTGGATTGATTGGAAAAGGTTCCAATAGACTCATTGAAGGGATTCCTGGAAGTCCATGCCTCAAAGAGATACAAAAAATTGTTCTGACAAGTACAGCCCAGACCTTAAGAAGGGCTTTATCTATGTAAAATAAGTG